TTTTAACAAAAGGCAAACACCCTTATTCAAAACTTCTCTTTTCCTCACTCTGCTTTTTACATCACCTTAAAAAGCTGGTCTGAACTCTGTATCCACTTAGACTGTCATCAGCACCTTACGTGATCAGCTGGACAACCTCAAAAAGTGGCAAGAGGAGGAGTTCACACGTACTGCAAGCATTCAGCATAGGAGCCATCATGAGCCAAGGCATCATCTCTTTCCTCTTCTGTGCTGCTTTGTTTCTGTCCAGCCTAGCCATCCTCATCTCTTCTGTTTAAGAAGGATTCAACAGCCTGATTGGCTGTTCTCAGAAACCTTCCTGTAGAAATTCTAAGGAAAACAAAAAGCGTTGACCAAAATCTTGAGAACCAAAGAAAACTGTTATCTGAGATGATCTGGTCATGTTTGGTTCCCTAGAAGTCAGGCAAGAAAGACCCAACAAATAATTCTTCTTAGAAATACTGCTGCTCCGCTCTCAAGATGAATCACTGCCTGTTAGCACAAAAGTGACTTACTGAAGTGTTTTAATCTGAAAAATGGTTATCTCCTGTCTTTCTCCAAAATAAAAAGCAAAGCTCTTGCAATAAAGCTGATCATATCAGGTGCCTTGACAATAAACCCTGCAATGAGCTGCATTCCAGCTGATGCTGATACTATTATCAGCAGTTTTCAGTAACCCATGCCTAGGCATCAAAATAATTTTCAGACATTGTGTGGGAAATAAGATTACTTACCAAACAACTGCAAAACCCATGGACATAATATCTAGTTTGATGTTTAGGAACTAGAACTTCCCAAAGGCCTGTTACAGCATTAGGGACAAGGATCTCAAAAGGGAATTACAGATAGAGAGAAAGCCTCAAGGAAATGGCAATCCCACTGTTAGTTGTGAGATACAGTGTGCCAGGGCTGCCCTGAAGAGATCACCTCAGCTGGTCCACCTGTCCCAAGGCAGAGTTCATGAAAAACAAGAGTAGGACAGAGATCTTACAGAAACTGGAAGCTGCCAGGCAAGGCAGTAACAGTTGGTACGCATACACAGTCACCACTGCAGGACGTAACGGGGGTTGAATATTACAACTCTGAAGAGGCAGTTCCTAGACAAATAGTGCACGTACCAGGTGCCATGCAGAGAGAAGGGCTCAGGTGAGCTGTGGCTGCAATGGTCCTTAGCTAAAGACTAAAAAAATTTTGAAGTTTCCAGCTGCATTTAGAAGTTATTGTTTATTTGTGTGAGTGATATGCAAATGTTCCTCAAATACAAAACATAGACAATAGCTTAATTATAATGTCACAGTAAAATATACGATATCACAATTGTAATTGTAAGAATTTTTTTACAACGAAGGTGGTGAAACAGGTTGGAACAGGAACGTCCAGAGAGGCAGTAGATGTCCCTGGAAACATTCAAGGCCAGGTTGGACGGGTCTCTGAGCAACCTGATCTATCTGAAGATGTCCCTGCTCATTGCAGAGGGGTTGGACTAGAGGACCTTTAAAGGTCCCTTACAACATAAACCATTCTGTGATTCTATGCCTATAAAATATTCTTCAAATGTGTCTACTGGTTAGAGATACATACATACACACATGCTTTAAATCTCCAGATGTAAAGACAAAATAGCTGAAAGCAACAAGATAGAATCAGATATATTTCAGCAGATGATTCTGAAAGAGGCACTCAGAGGTCATAGAAACAGTGGCCATAGGAGCCTATTGCAGTTGCTCATTTTATTAATTTCTCATTAAGTCAACATCATAGGAATAAAACTGTTTTTAAAAGGAGAATAATTTTCAAATTAGGGTCTTAAAAAATGCCAATATCAAAAAAGACAGCCTGGTTTGTTTTTCTATTGCTAGAATGCCTCCTTTATTCACGCTTCTGATTCTCAATGCAGCCACCTTCTCGCCCCTGCCATTTGAGAAGACCCTGTAGTAGGAGATATGGGGGGGTCACCACTGCTCAGGCACACAAACAAAGCATTAGGAGAGGAGATACCCCCAGCAAGTCACAAATGAGATCCAAGCCAATCCCCGCTGTACAACAACAGGCCCAAGCAAGCTCTTTGGGTGTCAAACACAGATAAAAGAGCTACGTGGAAAAGGGGAGTCAGGTCATACACAGTTGGGTTAGATACATCATACAGCACTTTTATCCTTCACACATGTAAGGTCTGTTATCTTCTTCCTCCTCATGTCTGTAAGAACTCTGATCCAGAATCTTATCTCCTGACTTGGTATTTAAAGGGAGCCTTTCCTGAATTACCACAACTGTGCATTTGACAGAATACATCCATCTACGTCACAAACTTATTTATATGGGGTAGTGCTTGACCGGCCACTAATCATTTGGTACTATGTGCTATACAAAAGCTCAGCCAAGACTTTTCCCATCTTACACAGCTTTCAACCCAAAAGATCAAATCCTAAAGATAGCACAGGCTTAGTTACAGTCCTGAGACTCAGGAATCTGGAAATCTGCTTTACTCCCAGAGCTGTATTAAGCACCTGTATACATGTGAGTGCAATTAAGTACAGATACAGGTGGATTGTACTCAATGGTTTTATTGCTAAAGGAGTGATTCTAATCCATGAGTACACACACTCCATGATTTACATCCTGATCTGGTCAGTACTTCCACGCATCTGCTGACTCCCATACAGCCTGAATGCACTGTTATTCAGAAAAACGGCAGCATTCTGGCTAGAATTAGAATTTAGCGTTGGTCTAAAGGAAGGTTTTGATGCAAATAAACCACTGGGCACAGGGGAAAGGCAAAAAGAAGACACTTCACCTCAGGACACTGCATTATCATAGACCCCTTTCTATTTAGCCCACAGGGCTGCTCCTTAGTCCTAAGGTTACCTCAACATCTCAGGTCCTCACATCGCTCTAGCAGACTTTATTAGCAGCATGTGCCAAGAACCAAGTACTCTGCAAGAGCTCCCATACCAACAACTATAATCCATCAGAGAACTCAATATCCTTTCCCTTGAGAAAGTGCCAAGTATCTTATGGGAGTTGTTAGATAGGATCCTTCCTCATGTTGCTCATTAGCCCTTTTCTTCTCAGAGACCTGGCTGAGCTTTTAACTTTGAGTACAAAGAAGAGAATGTTTTGCTGTATTATACCAACCTCAGGAGGCTGGAACACTAGCAAGCTGTGACCTGGCGCAGAGCATGGACCAGTGCTGTAGTTTGGGGTACAGAGCACAAGGTGGGGAAGCATCAGAAAGCAGCATTTCCAATACTTAATTTCTGCCTGGTGGTACCAACAAAGGTTCCTTTGTGAGGGGGTAGACGTAGTTTTGGCCTCAGTCTGTCTAGAGGTAAACACAGGCTGATACTCACAGCACAGTTGAGAGAATAAGCTAGTCTAGTACCATCTATTGTATACATTTACTGAGCGTGCATTTTCATGTCTGCACATTCAGGCTTACGCACAGGATTAAATTCTCACAGTTCAGGCACAGAGCTGCAATTCCATCACTGTAATCTAGCAAAGGAGACTTCTGTGCAACACTGAGCAGATTTATCTCATTACTATTCATCCTACAAAACATTTCAGTAGTAAACTAGAGAATGAGATTTGGACTCCTACCTGCAGTTCTTCAGGTCTTGAAATATAATTTCAAATGAGGAAAAAAAAAAATCAGACAAGGCAAACACTTTTCTTGTCTAACACAGTATCACTTACCAATGGCATTCGGATATAATCTGTAATAAATATGCATCAGTACACCAGCACTGCCATAAACTTTTGGCAAGCTCTTATTTGGGCTTGCCTCAATGTAGGCCAGAGCAACAAACACTTAAGTCCAGCAGACGGGGTGGGGAGACCGTATTAGCTACCGTTTCACTGCTTTCTGTTTCTTTGCATGACCCTTTCACTGTCATGACTACTATCATAGAAAGTAGAATTCTTAACCAGTAAAAACAGAATCAGATGCACGAAAACGATAAATATTGCTTTATTAAATTACTTTTATACTCCTACAAAGAAATTTTCTGATTCCCATTACAGAATTAAATGAAATAAATTCATTGCTGTCTCTGCAGTTACCTAAATTTAGATACAAAAAGGTTGTAAAAAGACCAGCCTATTCAAGTTACACAAAAAGGCAGAGAAGAGACAAGTTCCCTTAGGAATCTTGAGGCTCAAAAATATCAAGTCCTATAATATAATGAAATCAAGAATTCAGCAATGTGTTGAACAACTGTAAACTGTAACTGCACTAGTGGACCACATTATTCAGCAGTTTCCTTAAAGGTATAAACTGTGAACTGAACAAAAAGTGTAGCTGACACAGCAGACCTCATTTGGTTGTTCTCCCTTTCACTCCCTCCAAGTAAAAGCTGTGAGATCAGCATTCAGCATTTAAATGATAGGAAGGAAACTTGCCTCCATAAATATCAGAAATTTCTCCATTCTATAACTATTTATATAAAGTAACTAGCTGTTACAAATCAGTTTCAAGTAAAACAGGTGGCTGAGGCAAAAATAATCAAAATCAGATCATATACAATTTTACTGTAAATACAGTAATTTGAAAGATAAACACATAACCATAGCACTGACAGGATATCAATGCTGCTGTACTATAGACATGATGTGTCAGTAGAAAATTAGGATGTCTATTATCAAAATCGAGGACATTCATTCCAGTCTCTGGTAATCTAATCTTAGTGCAAAACAGATGCTAAGACATATTTAGCATTAAAGGTGATACATTTAAGGCCAAAAATTTGTTCAGTCATCACTATCGCTTCCAGATTCACTCAGCTGCAAGTCATTTCCTAGAAGAGAAAGAGTCATCGTATTAGTCATTTTCAAGGAAATACTTTTCTTCTTTCAAGATATTCCCTTTGCCAATTAAAGGCTTACAAAAACTACTACCAAACAGGTCAGGGAGGTTGGACTAGGTGAGCTTTGAAGGTCCCTTCTAACCCAAATTGTTTTACGATAAGAGAAGCAATAGGTGCAGAACCAAACTCCCAAGGAACAGAGCGCCTTAGAGAGTTTGCTTTTCTACAACTTTAAAACCTTGGCAAGGAACCCATTAGCTTATTAGCCACAACTGCATTTATTTAATACCACCAGATCAAAATCAACAACACGTAGCTATCTTTGCCATGCACATTTTCATGCTTCATAAGTGGGAAAACTGCTGGTGAATGCAGTTTTGTGAAAAGTGAGTTGTTGTTTTTTTGAAACACATCTGAATGCTACTCAGCTGTGCTCGAAAACAAAGTGGTGTCTCAATCAAGATGAGCAGCTCTTTGATGTAGCATTTAAAGATGTATCAGTGACCTACTATTTCAAACAGGTTTTGGAACAAGTGAACAAACAAAACATCAAAAGACATTTTACACAGCACTTTAATTTGATGGCTATATATACTTCAAAATGGGGAAGTAAGAAGAAAGACTACACTGTGCTTGGAATGGATGTCCTTAAGCTTCGGAGGTGGGAGGGAGGGAATCTTTCCAGGATGACAGATAACTAACAAAACATACAGCAGCATGCTATATAGAATTTACATCTTATCTAGCAACTTCCCATGCATTTTTAAGAATTTGTTCCAACTAGTATGCTTTTATTCACACCTCCTTTGCCAAACAGCCACTAAAACAGAAAAGAAAAAGAAAAAAGGACTGCATCTTAGGTTGTACTGAAATGGCCTGAAAAGCAAAGAAAAAGAAAAATCACTGAAACTGAGTGGGCATGCTATTTTCACATGCTCTTTCCTCAGCTGGAGCACCCTTCACAGATCACTTTTGCAGATGGGTAAAAACAGTAACCTCAAGAGGGTAAACCCAGCAAGACACTCAGATTGGATCTTTTGTTATCAGGAATATAATTTCTGCCAGAACACTGAAGTCTGTAACACGGCCGCATTTAGCCTTCCTTTGTTTCGCACTCTGTCATCACTAAAGCTTAGAAAAGTGGTACACGATTCTCCGCAACAAAACAGAAAATACTTTCTATAAGACAAGAATAGTGAAGATGGCTGTTTCCAGCAATCTTTAAAGTACTACGGTAGACAATTTTTTCCCAGTCTTCTATATAGGAGACAGTATTTACAGCTGTATTAATTTAATCTGAATTTTAAAAGCAATTCTGAAAGTATACAAAAGTTATTTGTCAAAAAATATTCAGGACAATATATTATCCTAAGAAATAACATATCAAGGCAGAGAATAGCGTTAGTAGTTTAAATTTGTGCATTTATCACTCAAAGGAAAACTCAGAGTGAATTCTTAGAAATCCCAGCCCTGTTATGCACTACATACTTTAGGAGAGGACTGGGAGTATGAACAAGAAAATAACCTTCCAAATAGTGATTCTGCAGCCTTCAAAAGTTATTTCAACACAGTTAATAGAAATTACACAAACTCTGTAACACCAGCCAAAAATATCAGTGCTTGTGAAAACCAGCAGATGGGAAAAAGCAAGAACTCCAGGTTCCAGAGTCAGAAATAATGCATTAGGATTTACTTCAGGGAAAACTTTCTGCCCCATTTTTATAACCTTACCTCCAAAAAACACCTTCAGTGAGATGGCAAAATAACACAGACTGGAGGTGGTAGTTTTCAGATGGGTTTGGTGCAGGAATGGAAAGTTTGTTTACCTAAGACTCTGAAGAAACACCTTGACTCTGTTGTAATTATGAGGCAGCAATAAAGTGGGGAAAACTGTCTAATTCAGTTTCCACAGTGCCAGTTGCTTATTAGATTGAAAAAGAAAAGATTGAACTGCAAATTACAACATTTCCTAAACTTTACAAATCAGTGATTAGAATATATTCAATCGAATTCTTGCGAGTTATAGAAGACAGAGAAACTCACAGGAGTGAAATGTGTTTCACAGATCATAGTGGTCACACCAACACCAAAATAATGCAAGGCAAAATGATTTCATGACTAGCTGCTTGTACCAGCAGAAAGGATCAAAAGAAGTGCAGTTGTGCTGAATATTGTGTACATAACACAAGGCTCCAAAATAGCTGATCTATGCCAGTTTTTCTTTGGAAAGTTACTTAATTGAACATAACTCTAACTTTAAACAAAAAGTAGACAAAAAGCAACATATGATCAAATATTTATGACGAACAGATTAATTAGTGCCACCATTTACAAACTTTGTTCTAAGGCAAGTTAAGAGCCTACATGATCTAACTATAAGGTAGAAAGAAGCAGCAGTATTTTGGGGGTGAGGGGCAGTCTTGAGCCCCAGATTCCTGAAGAGGTAGATTATGTCTGTCTGACAGAAGTATTTGGTTGCCATGCTCTAGACACCACCTCCTGTGTTTTCCAAGTTCCACAAAACCTCAGCTGTATGATTTCTACATGCAAGATGAAACTCTGCTCTCTAACCCTTCCCCCAGCCTTCTGCCTGCACGCAGCAAGCCAAAGGAAAACTTCACTAAAGCGTTACCCAGCATGGCCCTGATTCTAGAGGTGCACAAAACCAGTCTCGCATACAAGCGGTCAAACCGCAAAACCGGATTAGACAAGCAAACAGCTTGAGCTGGAATTTGTTAATACAGTATTTTATATTTGCAAAATGTTTGAGATGGAAGAAATGACTGTACAGGACCCCCGACTGAAAACTCTTGCCATTCAAGCTAGAACCATGTGCTATCCATTTAGTTTCTCCAGGTTTCACTCTCCTGCCAAATTTCCTCAGCAAAAGAGCCAGAGAAACACATTCTCCTTGAAAGTAACCATTTTGATCTTTGTCTAGTTGAAGTGTATTTTAAGTGTCAACCATACTGGAAGTTGGGGACAGAACTGTTTTATGCAGTAAATAGATCTGTAACCCTAACAGAATTAAAAATGGGACTGATGCTACAGACAGAGGTTCCAGCTGTCAACACGGTGCTCGAGCACCATCAAGCCAATAAGTTCCCCTGTAATAGTTTTGATGTTGTATTTCAAGCAGCGCTTTCTCACTATGACTGATTAAACTGGTGGACTTGGACACCTGTACTTGTAAGTGTATTTCTTAGTAGAAGCTTTGCTAGCTGGGATTCTGTCACTGGGGACAGAGCTTAATCTCGTTTTCGTAAGTTTTATTTAAAGCATGAAGAATGGGAAATCCCATTTGTGAATAAGGGTTGAAATAAACAGCACACTCTAAAGTTAAGCACATTAAAAACACAAAGATATTGTTCTCTACAGTGACAGTAAAATGAAAGCAGCATTTAGTCCTTTGCACACAAAGTCACAGGACTTTTCAGTCTGATCTTATCTGTTAATGCAGTACATAAATAGCCACCACAGATATTTAATTAAGTATTTAAATACTAGCTACAAAAAAAACCTGTTCATGTTATCCATTAACTACTGAAATAAAAGGAGGTCTCCCAGTCTAAAATTTCAGTGTAACAAGTTTACACATAGATTATAAACCTTAAAGATTCTAGGCTGCAAACCAGGGTTGATGGGAATCTCTTCAAACTGGAAGCCTGCAGCTAAGCACCTAATTAAAAATGTAATCATTTTTGAAGAGTCACCCTAGCTGAGTATTCACTTCTATGTCTGAGTACTCCTGCCTTTTAGGTAGAAAACTTAAGATTCTCTACCTATTTTTTTTCTGTCTATACTCTTTTTTGAATACACTGAGCATTCAATTCCAGGTTGCAGAGTAACCACTTCTTGAAGAGCATTGTAACTACTCTTCAAGTTACATTTTTAGTTGCCCGAATGGGTAGAATAAGATAGTATCACCTGAAAGCAAATCATCTCCTTCATTACTTGCAAAGGACCATTTTGCCATGCTGTCCAGTGGAACAGTACCGTGAATAATAATAACTGAAGTAGCTAAGAATACACCATCTCTTCTGTAATTCAGAGTATTGCCAGTATAGTATCTTCCCCATAGTTCTACCCAAGAAATCGTAAGCATATGTTTTTGGAGTGCCCTGTTAGTTCCAGTATTTTCAATACAAAATTACTGTTCTCAAGTCCCAATGTATACAGCTGGGAGGAAGCCAGAAGAGCTTAGGAAATATTTTCAACTGCATCAGCTTTAATTTAATATCTCTGAGGACCAAGAAACTTCTAGTGCAGTGTCTAATTCAGACCGCTGCTGAACAATCAAACCCTAGCATCACTTCCCACAATTTTAATTATAACAGAGACATACTTAAAAACAATATGGTTTCCTTTCAGAATCTTGATGTCTGGAATTGTGCACTAAGAAAAGAACAGCCTTTGTACTTACGTAGTGTATTCATCATATGACCACTGCTCTCTTGGGATCTGTTGTGATTGGCATCTTTGTCGGGGACAGCCTGTTGTGGTATAGCAGACACAGTAGGCTGCGGCTGCAAGTACGGCATTGACATAGGAAGAGAGGGCTTCATTTCCTCATCTTCAGAATCACTAGAACTGTTTTCACTACTTGAAGAGGACGAAGAACTTTTAGAGTCAGATGAACTGTCAGAGCTGCTCAGCTGGTCCATGATACTGGCTTCTGCTTTTAGCTCTGCAAACAATATGATTTGTTTGTCAGTTAACATTCATCATAATTGAAATACAAGGAGGAGGAGGAGGAAAAATATAATAAACAAGAAAAGCCAACCAAAGAAATCAGGTACGTGCGTTACAGCAACTAAAAAAAACCGAGACAAAACCAAGCCAAAACAACCAAAACTCTCCAGAACAAAGAAAAGGGCACAAGCAAGCATCCAGTCTGTCATGTAGTTTTCTCCTCCTGTAGCTTGGACACCTTCCCCCTTTCAAGCCAGGCATTTGAACAAGGATGACTGTGAACCCAAATGCTAACCCCACATTCGACAGGGTAGTGCATTCCACATAGCCTTTCTGCAACTAGCAAGTTTTTTGTATTTTCCTTAGCACCCCCAAAGACACCTTCCACTGACTAAAAACCAGAGTTACAATCATGCAGGTATGTTAGCTGTAAGATGTCTGCAGCTGTGCCCAAAATGCCTTCCAACAGTTGAGCATTACAATCAATACACTTGTTTCAACTGTGTGACATTTTGCTCAGAACCAAGTTAAGCATGAGGAATATCCAAAGGAGCCATCCACAGTTTACTATTAGGAAGATTTCACCAAATCCTTTTTCTCTTTGTAGACTGGGGGGAAGGGAGTTGGGGGGAAGAAATCTAGACCAAGAGGCAGACAAGAAATACTGGAAATTAACAGATCAAACTGACTCAACTTGCATTCATGATGAAATAACTCATCTGACTACAATATTATTTAGGAGACTATGACTGGATGGATTGTCCTGCACAATATGCATTTTTTACATATGCAGCTGAAGTCCAACATACAGAGGAAGTTAAGCCTTGCAGAAAGGGTACATGTAATAACTGTGCAAAATAGGGGTGCTGCTAAGTGAGAAGTCTGAAACAGACCACTGAATCATGGTGGATGGAGATTTGATATGGCGACTTAAGGAGTTATCCAGAGTGCAGAAGTTCATCATTATAGAAGACTGTAACTATATAGACATTTATTAAGATGGTTTTACAAGCACTTGGAATACTTCAGAAACAGCTTTTATATAGCAGACATAAAAAGCAAGTAGGAGAGTGGCTCATCTCACTTCAGATTTACCCAATACAGAAGAACAGGTTGAAGATGAAAGTCACCAAGACATAAGATGGCTCAGAACTTAATCAAGAGAAGAAAGGAGAATAAAAGCATAAGCTTGCACACAAACTTCCATGAACTTCCTCATAATTTAGGGTTATCAAAGGACACTCTAAAGGAAAGGTGCTTAGGCCAGTCTAAATGAAAATGGTGTTCAGGAAAAATGGCACCTGAAATAGTGTGTCTATGGCTGCAAGGACAAACTAATCCAGTGCCAAGGAAAAACAGAAAGTACATGAAAAGACCAAACTGGCTGATTCAAACATAAGGAGAGAGAAGGAGGAAGGGGGGTGAAGAGAGTTGGGGTGGGGTGGGGGGGAGTGTCTCAAGTACTCCTTCTTCTTTGCAACCTTAGATGTATTCTACTACTGTTCTGCAGTATAGATTTCTGCTCAGAGTTTAAGATCAAAATGAAAAAAAACCCTTCGTAATGACATACCTGAAAAAAATCTGTTTAAAGGAATTCAGAACATCTTGGGAGGCAGATGTCAATTCCAGTCAATGAAACTGCCACCTGTCAGCATTTCTGTAGCAAGTAATTACCACCTGCCATCTTCCTTGCCCTCCAAAAGGAAATAAGGCCTCTTATTAAGTGAAACAGGAGTGCTGCACCAAACCAGCATCTCTCAAGAATACAGTACACAGCCCTGTTCAAGGGTTGATTTATGCAGGTTTTTAGCTGTCTTTTTTCATTGGAACCTCATCTTTCACAAGGTCTTATCCAGTAATTCAAAATGTATTTTGTGTTGTAACCTATGTGTTTGCTAAGTGCACAGAAAGTATGTGGAGTGATGACAAAACAGAATTGACTCCAGTGCCACAATACAACCAACCATATGCTTGATTAAAGCAGCAGCAGAAGACAAGATCAAGGAGAGCGTGCAGTGGGACCCTTGCCATTATTAAGCCTAATGGTTCGTCTGACTTTTTTACCTTAGCAAGTTTCAAATACTGCTCTGTTACCACTTGAGCCAGAGTGGTCATTTCCATAAGAGAGTAAAGTGCTTACACAATCAGCTTCTAGTGTGAATCTCAAATTAAAACAAAAAACAACAAAACCACACACAAAATCCCCTAAAAAATGGCTTTTAAAAACTAATTGCTAGTTAACAGCAAAGTTTCTGAAACTTATATGCCAGTGGAGCTTACCTTGTTCAATATCATCCATAGGAGAAGAAGGAAACATCTTTTCTTTTGGTGGAGAATTTTTAATGTTGTTTGGAACCTTAGTTGCATTTCGCATTTGCTGCTGTTGCTGTTCTATGCGAGACTGGACTTTACTGCTTCCATCAGCCCTGTGCGTGAAAGCAAAAAAATTTTAATTACTAGAAGACAAGATGCAAGGAAAAAGGCAAGAATACAGGGAATGCAGTACCCTAAATTAGAGAATTTATTTGCCATGTCTTTCTAAATAGCTTCATTAGATTGCTAGGTACATTATTATACTAGCATATAATTACATATAGATGTATGTAATTCTTTTTTTAATACAGTGCAGTAACTTTTTAAATGCTTTGTCAGTTGATTTGTTTTTCTACCTGGCTACCCAGGATTTGTTAATAATAATTCTGCTGGAAAAGACTTATGTGGATGCAGCAGCAACAAAAAAAAAATCAAAACCTCGGTATGAGAAAAACAAGCCATCAATATTACTGAAACATGTCACAAAATTTATCTTCTTTAATTCTCTCATTTAGAAGACAGTAGGAAAGCTACTTTCCAAACAGATTTCCCATTCCCCCGCTCCAAATTAATCAGAAAATAGTTACCATCTCTTTCAACAATGTGTCGGTTTTTTGTTAAAAAACAAAAACAAAAAATCCCCAAAACCCAACACAAAAACAACCACCCAAACAACAAAAAAACCCCCAACATTCCCATTTCTTCCACCAGTCAGACTCGAAATCTGTGAAGTCAGTGTGCCAAGCAAGCAGGCTTTTCACTCTACTGAACAAGACCAGGTACTTTCTAAAAATGTCATTTTGCTAAAAATAGTAACGTGTTGTCCTGCATCTCAATTTAGATTCGGTAACAAATCAATTTTCACAATGAGTAAAGCACAGTTGTTTCTCCTGTAAATCACCCACCTGGTTTTTTTCACAGTGAAGTTGCTACTAAGTTTCTCTAGGCGACATTCTCCAGTGTCATGGTTGATAATTAAGATACATTCTTTTAGGTAAGGCTTCCTTGAGCCCTTGAACACAGTCACTGGTGGAGTTGAGCCCTATTAAATCAGAAGTCCAGTAAGTGTTACTCCTATAGGCTTTCTTTTCTTAGAAACAGCAATCCAACACAGTGATGACAAGTTTGCTATAAGTGATCATTTCTAGCCTTTAAAAAACGTTATCAGTTAATTTAAATTAGATTCACAGTAGCCATGACCAAAAGCAGTCAGTGACTGACTAGAATGGGGCTTTGCCCAGCTTAGCTTAGTTAGAAACTGATTAAATGCTTGTTTCCCAATGAGAGCATGCTTACTTTAGGACTCCTTTTACCAAAAGGGGTTTCAGTTACCATATCAGCAGGGCAGTAAAACATGGCAGGCAGTAAATTTTCCCTTTCCAGTCTTTCCTGCTTTAGAACTGCACCAGAGCAGTAAATGCCAAGGGGAAACTTGCACTGCCAACATCCACATGAAGTTTTTCTGTGTACGCAACACTTCTGGGTCATCCTACAGCATATTTCCAATGTGGTGAATGCACTTAAAGTTACAGCACAGCTGTTTAACCTCTAGGTTTTCTGTAATTTTACATTCTTAGAGCAATTTGTTTTCTACTCTAAAAATCACACAAGCAGCTCTGAAACAGCACTGAAACTTTATATCCTTCTATATTCAGTATATATTCATGACAACAGAATAAATAATTCCCTTAGGCCCGACACTCTTCAGCCACCCCACTCACCTCAATATTTGGCAGTGTTATTGTCACCTGTTCACCTTCACCAATTTTAAGGTCTCCTTCGCAGGACATATCAATAGATGCAGGCTTAAAGTCATCTACATATAAAAAGAAACGGGATTATTTACAGGCTTTTCAGGAATCTTATAAACATAAACACCTTTTAATTGCAGTTGGAGGCTATTAAGTTAAACCCTTTTTTCCTAGTGTATCATCTACCATTCCCCTGAGCAGATCATTCTGTAAATCAGTTGAATTCAAAGTCAAGGCAGTTTTCTCAAGATTCAGTATATATGTTAACAACTTTCGGTTAAAACCAGAAAAATGTTGTTAGGTTTTAATGGTTAAAGAGGCTGAATGAACTGTGTTATATTTCAAAAGATAAATCCTCACATAATTACTTTCAGAAAAATCAATAAATAGTTCTTGAAAATGTCAATCCAAAACATGGGAGATGTAGACAAGTGACTGAAAAGGCAAAGAACAACATCAGTCCTCAGTATCCACTTCTGTATTCATTTCTAATTTTACATGTATTTCAGAAGCTGACCAAAACTTAGGTTTCAGTATATTTATTTTTGTCAAAGGCGAAGTTACTGCCTCATTAAATATTAATTTCCTTTTTGTCATTTTAATCAATACTTTCGATGTTGAAAAAAAGTTTTAAACAAAAGAAGATGTCTATTTCCAGTCCTTTTCAAAAATCTGAGACATTGAAAAGGAGCATGTGATCCAGCACCAGCACTGCAGCTATGTAACACACCATTATCTATAAAGTATTATTTCCACCACAAATGAATTAGGAAAGGCTACAGCTAGAAGGCCTGCCTGCACAGATACGGAGAGATAGAATGGCATCAAGAGGCTCTGCAAGGCACGTGGTAACACATGTGGGTTTGAACCCGTGGTTCCAGCAAACTCAGGCGCAGGGCCAGCCTCGCACCCTGGGGATGTCCGGTGCTTTGCCTTGCACGCTGGGGAGCAGCACCCGGTCACAGCTGAAAAGAGGCACAGAGGAACCAGGCATGTAAAGGGAACCCATTAGATGCACGCTCCCTGGCCACTGCACAGCACGTGTGCCTCGCCTCACAACCTGTCACCTCACCCGCTGCGGGTCACAGGCGGCAGCACTCCATCACGGCTGGGGAGCTTCCCAGGTCAGCAATGCTGCCTGCAACCCGTGGGCCAGGCGGCACAGCCCACAGCTGAGAACCCTGCCTCCAGTGTGCACACCAACTGGGCAAGAAAACCAAGCTTCAGGAGCTGGAAGGCAGGACTATGCACATAGGGGAAGGCTTTGAGCTGAGACACTGGTAACAGCCTCTACTAACCTTGCTCACGGCAAAACCCCACATGTCCTCTTACAGCATAAAGTAGTTCCAAAGTTTCTCATCAGAAATTAGAAAATGTTTGCTTTAATATATGGCCACTGGGTGGTTAATGCTTTAGAAAATTAAGACATGAATTCGAGCGTCCATAAACAGACTTCAGATCTTAACTTCTAACCAGCAGATGTCTTGCCCTTTACCCATTTGTTAACAAAGCTTCAGGTGTCAGAGGAAATTATTTTTGCACATGCATTTGACAGAACTGATGAAACTGCCAGTTTCTATGTCTCATTTGTTGGAAAGGAAGGGAGATTTCAAAACAGATTTCAGTACAAATCATCAAATTACAGGAGTCAGCAAGAAATCGTTAAGGGTAGGAGGTACCAGACGTGGTTTTTAGTCCTATTTAAAATCAGGGTAAATTTCAGGTTATAGCATTTTTTTAAAGCCTTTTATAGCTTTTGCCCACTCCCTCCCCTCCCACAGTTCCAGACAATCCTGAAATGCTATTTGCTCTCAGAAAGCACATTACCCATCTCGCTGCACTGCGTGAGAGCGTACGCGACATTCTCCAGAGAACGTACGTGAGACTGAATCTGGGGGATCAGTCTATAAATAATGAGACATCACAACCAGAAGCAGCAGTCCGAAATTACCAGAACTATAATCCTAAGAGCATTTGTTTCCTAGTTACCCTCAGAATCTTTGAGCACACACCTCTCTAGATAGTAATTATGTACTCAGGGAGGGTATACGAGCTTTGTGATTAATACTGCCTTCAACCTTTGATTGCTGAATTGTACTTAACTTCTAAAATCTAAGCACAAGGAAAAGAGGGCAAAGCCAGAGCTTCAACTCAGTTCAGTTTAAAGCAGAACTGCATACAGACACTACACTGGATGCAAAAGGCATAAAAAGTAAAGTTAAAGCCCAGAAAGCAGCAAGGAATACAATGGTCAACCCGCTCCTAGGGGCGACTACAACCCCACATTGCTCCAGAGAGCTTAACCTCCACCCAACCACAGCCACTCGGTTTCCAGTTGTTGTCCCGGGACGAAGCCAAACGACTCATTTCACGTTCCTGGGCTTCACCTGTGTTATTTTTTAATACCAACTGTGTATTAAAAGCTCCCATCTCGCTGCCCGTCTCCTCCCCTC